CTCCTCCTCCAAATATCTTATAAATCATATTAAAATTCTATTCAACCCTTAACCAGTACAATAATTTCTTTTTAACATTTTCACCATTAATCAACCATAATTAGTTTGAAAATTTAAATCAAAGTTATATAAAAATATATTTATCATCAACATTTTGTCAAGGCACCAACTATGTATCCTTTCCAATCTCCTCATAACAACTCTAGCGTTTAAATATTTTCTCAACAAAGTATCAGTCTCCAAGAATTCCAATAATCATATACTATTAATTTCATAGTCTAATGTCCTTTGCACCTTTCAAGTTAAATTTATAGATTATTAACTTCTAAGCTAACTCTACTTCCCACAAGAATTTATGAAATTTTAAAGTCAAATTCAATTCTTCTGACAAGCATTTTAATAAGCATCTTATAGACACTAATCTCCTATCATCATATCTAACCTCTTCTCTTCCAACTTCAATTTACCAAATTCTTCAACATCAATCATTCCAATCAAGTTAATGTATTCCAAAAATTATGACCATATGAAGATTAGTATCAAGCTTAAGATGGATTTTTACCTCAACATTGGAATTTATTAATCTCTAAGACACTTGAGCACACCAAAATTCTATAGTTTCAACCATTAAAAATGGCCACACAGAAAATTATCAAGATGAAGGTGTAAAATTTCAGACATGAGTCAGCAACCATAAAGAAGAGAAAAAAGAAGAAAGCTAATTGAAATTAAGAAAGAAAATTCAGGCACCGACTAAAGCATACAAGACATGATTTTTTTTCCCAGCATCAGCTCTATCTCTTCATCCATTCACACGTTCAGAAATCTTCCAAGGAAATGAGATAAGATTAGGTTTCTAACTTAAAGGAACCACACGCACCAGCAAAGAAAGAAGGAGATAGCTTCAGGTATGAACAATAGAGAGGAAGGACTGCCACCATAAATCAAGAAAAATAAACAATATGACAGGACGAGCAAGAGAAAGAAAGAAATCTTAGCTCACCCAATCAATTACACACACACGAAACAGCAAGGAGAAAGGAAGAGAAGTCAAACATACTTGAGGTAGTGACAGAGGAGGATGAGCGACGGTAAAACAGAGGAAGAACTCACAGCCGCGGAGGAAGAACCAGTGACAGGCACACCGGTAACAACAACAGCGACTCACACGAATAGCGTATAACCAGTGATTGAGAAGGTAAGAGGCAGAAGTCGGCGAGAGACGGAACAAGGGTTTGGCATCAGCTTTCTAACTCTCTCTCTACTCTCCCAAATGTTCTAAGAAGGCCAAGAAAAAAGGAAAAAAAGTCTGATAAAGATGAGGGCAGATTTGTAATTTCATAAAGTATAAAAATAAAAATGGTTTCCACTGTACTAACTTCTCTTCTTGTCAAACTTATCCTAAGAATTAATATAAGTACTATTAAAATATAAACTTATATATATATATATATATATATACTTTAAATTTATATAAAATTCATAGGTCATTACAATATCTTTGAGATCCTCCCATAGGACCCTTCTTCTATCTTCATGAGGACTAGCGTAAACCGCTGTAAAGAACCAAGGCAATCAGATCCTTGCTCAATATAACAGTGAACAAACTGTTCATGCTTTCTTACCACCTTCAAACCTAAGTCCTCTATATTCCACAGGACCCACAAACCACTTGCAAAACCTCTTGCCTCAACCAAATCACAGAATTTGAAACCGATTCTTTGGATAGCTTTTTTAACAGCTAACCTGCTGATTCTAGGTTCAAGTAAGACAATAACATCAACTGAAACCTCATGCGCAATGTTTTTAATAGAAGCAGTAAAACCCCTGCTCGCTACTTCCCTACAATTCCAAACAACAACCTTCATCATGAATGATAGATTAGCAATTACAAGCCTCAATCTCCTCGCATTCATACATGTTCTCCTCATCATCATCCTCATAAACCATATCCGATTCCCCATCAGATGACATATGCTCGATAATCATACCAACCAAATCTGGTCATTGCCTGTCATCTTTCCCTTACTCAACAATTCCTTTATTTCACCTATATCAAGAATAAAAGTCTTCAAACTAGTCTGACCATACACATTCTGACAACCACCATTCCTCATTTGACTTACACCACCCAAGTCCTTCAACTGAGCTTGGTCATCCACATTACTTTTCTGACCTCTCAAAGAACTCATATTGGAAGATTCGCCACCCTTTTTAGAAACTTGCCAAACATACTTGGCCTGAAACTGTTTATTCATTTTCAGGTTAGTGATATCCCTCAAAGGCTTACCTCCTCCAGCACTCCCTTATTCATTCTCTGCCTCCAAGGCCTATGAGCAATTTTCAATGGACTTTCTTCTTCAACTACTTCCTTTTTCCCCTCCTTAGCACCCTCAATATCCATATGAACGTTTTGTTCCACAGTAGCCTATTTCTCTTTTACTTTTCTTCGCAAACTCCTCAGATGAATCCCTCACATGACCAAACCTCCCATGATACAGAGTAAGCCCATACATTCATACTCAATCGTTTTCACATGACCTTCAATAATATATTCTGGAACTAAAGGTTTAGTCAAATCTAATTCAACATAAAGACGAGCAAACTTACACTTGCTTTTCTGTGATGTTGGCATATCGACTTGATAACTTTCCCAATGGCATTCCCTAAATTAAACAAGAACTTCTTATCGTAATGTGCGGCTGGCAAATTAGGAAGCCTCACCCAAGCCGCCACCCAGTCTATCACATGCGTGGTAGGATCAAAATCAGACCTCCAACGCATTACACAAATGTAGCAGTCTTGATATACTTGCAGACCTCCTGTCAAAACAGCATTAAAATCATCCTGATTCTAAAATTTCACCAAGAAAAACTCATTCACCAAATCACACACTCGAATCTATCAAGCCTTAGAGTACATCCTATTCAAATTCATAACCACAGCGTCAAAATTAACACTCCTATTAAGAACCTTAGCTACCAATGTTCTCCTGAACGGTAACAGCAAACGCTCCTTTTCGACTTCATCTAACACAAAGTTAGGGTATCTCGAATTGGATTGATCTACCCTAATCTCCTATGTTGGTTCAAGCACATCGTCAAAACCCATGGAAAAACTCTTTTCCATCAACAGATCCTCCTCAGATTCATCAAAATTACACCACGCTTTCGGCAAGTTCTTATGCGCCAGTTCGCTATATAATAGAATGCTTTGCTTCTCAGTGCCCTCCTCCATCCAATCTTTCACTCTCGAAACAACAGAAACATTTCCTGAGAAGCTAGAGTTGTCTTTCCTAACTGTCTTTCTACTTCAATCCATCGCATCCTCCTCCTCCTCTGATGCCCCCACTGCCAATAGTGACGACGCTTTGACTGACGCCACACTCATCCTCTCTTACTCTTTTTATATTTCTACCATTATAAGCTCATTTGTTTATTGTACTTAGTCTTTCCAAAACATGCTCTTCTATTTTCACTTTAGACGACTTTGGTCTTTCGTTCCTCCACAAAACTTTTTCATTTGAGGGCATCCAATTATTTTTATCTCTTCTAGTGCTGGGAATTTAAAGGAGCAACTCTCTGGAGAAAACATCTTCAAGCTTGGAATATCAGTAAGTGTGAGTCTAAATAATCCATTGAATGAGATTCCCCCTTCCACATCATCATCCATCCCATTCTTTATTATTTCCTCCATCTTCTTGCTGTCATTTGTCCACAACCTTATAAGACTCACCAAGCCTTTGGCAGTTGAACTTGTCACTAAATGGATGAGTTGATGGCATGTAGATACCTTCAGCTCTGTCAAATTTTGAAATGAGCCAAAGGATGGTGCTAACTTAATCAAACTATAACTTTTGACTGTGAGGATATATAGATTTTGATGAATTGGTGGTAGCTGGGAATCATCCTTCCATATGCTCTTGACCTGATCCAAATAGGCCAAGTATAATTCTTTAAATGGTGTAATTTTTCCCATATGATCAATAATATGGTCTTGTGATGGGAATATCTCCTCAAAGAAACATAAAGCTTATAAAGCTTTGGAAATCTTTCAAGGAAGTTATAAGGAAAGGTTACCCCCTCATTCAAAATGCTTTCTACATGAAGTATGCTCACTTCAAGAAAGACAACCATTATTGTCGTGATATTCTTTGCATTTAACGCCATGCTTTCAGTTGTGGAAATTACCTGGCTATAAGATGATAAATAATAAAATAATTACCATATGTAGAAGGCGATTCCATAAATTACATCAATGTATTGTTTTGAAGAATAATTTCTGGTGTAAGTTAGCTTAGGATTAAATCTTTCTTAATTTGATGACTCATCTTTTTCTAATATTTATATTTTAAACATTCCTTCCTAAAGCCTCATCCAAAAATTAAAGTTAACAACCTTCATCTATTTCATACCCTTATTTAGCTTCAGGGCTTTTGCAATGGACCTAAAAAATGACAGTTGATGAAAGTATTCGGATATTAAGGCAATAGTTTAATAAATTAAAGTCAATTTTTTAAAAAAATAATTTATTATTTTATTGAAAATAAAATCTTTCATAATCAATCTACCATCGTTTTATAATAATTATAGTTTTATCATTAATTTCCTGCCTAAAATAAAATTGATACTTTAAAATAAAAATAAAACCCTTTAAATAATTCTAGTAAGAGATGTATCAAAGAATGATGCTAACCAGAAGATCAATCATAACTATAATAGGACTATTTGCAGTTTATCACATTCATCAGCTATCATTCGCATGCAATTGGAGCTGTGTAATATGGAAAGTTTATAATTTAAAAGGTTCAACAAAAAGTTGAAACTCAAAATTGTTTGAAATATTAATGTAATGCTAAATTTTGGAGGCGAAGAATTTTGTAAAAAGTGGAAAATAAGAATTGGAGTATATATTCAGCATACCTGTTGAACAGTAAATTGGATGGTGTTGTTTAGATCACACATCCAAATTTTTTTTATTTGGATTGTATGTCACTTTAATGCTTTTAAGGCACAAAAAATGTATGGCACCTGCACAGAACATTGTGAGGTGAGGACATTCTCTTATGGTGACATCTTCCAATAATGGAAACCTGAAGGTATTAAGTTGCAAATACTGTGATTTGCTAAAAATGACATCCATGTCCTCATCATCCTCTCCCTCTTGCTTTGTTATTATTTCCTCTATCTCATCACAGAAATGAATTGTGAAGCATGTGAGATGGACCAAGCTTCGAACTACTAATGATGTTAGCAAAGTGGTTAATAGAGTACACAATTCCATGCAGAGAAGTGTGAGATTTGATGGAGAAATGAAGGATGGTTCCATGCTTATCATATTGGAAATATCTTGGAGAGTTAATTTTAGAAAGGGAACAACAAGTGTAGCAACATGGTCCCCTCCAAAAGGATCCTTACTTGACAATATCCCCTTAAACTCACTGCCTATTGTGAGATGCTCTTAATTTGGGAAGCTGGACAATAATGATTTGTACAACAAAGTTGTTGCTTTTTTAGCATATAGACCGAGCCCTTTTACTTTTGGAAAGCGGTGCATTGCAAACTGCCCACTCCTGATCTTGTCCACTTCTTTTCCGTCCAATCGCAACTCTTCCAGATTGGGAATAATTAACCTACACAATACATCATATAATAGCACATGATCCTTTTAATTAGCTTGAAATTGTAATCATGAAAAATAAAAGTCAATACGAATTTATAGATTTTCAATCTTCTGTTGTGCCATTCCAATGTTATTACTCCGTTCTATTCCAAAACAAAATATAAAACTAAAGCTTATAAGGTCTTCAAAAAATTCTATTCCCTCCTAAATCATCACGCGTTGCTTATTTGGAATGAAGACTCAAAAGTGAGGATTGGTGCCCCTCTTTTTAGAAGAAAGAATACAACAACAATAACAACAACAACAACAAGCCTTTATCCCACTAAGTGGGATCGGCTACATGGATTGCAAGACACCATTGTGTTCTATCATTTATCAAGTTTTTAAGAATATTATTAATTAACAGATCGCGTTCAATAACTTTCAAAAGTGTTCTCTTAGGCTTTCCTCTACCTCTCTTAATCGGACTCAAAGTTATATGTTTCACTCTTCTCATCGGTACCTCCCTTGGTCTTCTTTGTACATGCCCAAACCATCTCAACTGATTTTCTACCATTTTTTCCTCAATAGGTGCCACCCTTACTTTTTCGCGTACGTGCTCATTTCGAATTTTATCTTTACGTGTATGTCCGCACATCCGTCGTAACATTCTCATCTCTGCTACTCCAACTTTATGCTCTTACTGTCCCGTTAGAACCCAGCATTCACTACTATATAACATTGTCAGTCTGATAGCAGTGCGATAAAACTTTCCTTTAAGTTTATTAGGCACCTTACGGTCACAAATAACTCCTTTAGCTTTTCTCCAATTAAACCACCCAGCTTGAATTCTATGTGAAATATCTTCACTGATTTCGCCATCATTTTGAATAATGGCTCCCAAATATCTAAACTTTTCCACTTGAGGTATAATTTGATCTCCCAATTTCATTTTCAAATTATTGTCGAATAGTGCTTTACCAAATTTACAATATAAATATTCCATCTTACTTCTACTCAGACGAAAACCTTTCGACTCCAATGTCCTCCTCCATAACTCAAGTTTGCAATTAACCTCTTCTCTTGTATCTGCTATAAGAACTATATCATCTGCGAAGAGCATACATTTCAGAATTTCCCCTTGAATATGTTCCGTCAAAACATTTAAAATCAAGTTGAATAAATAAGGACTCAGAGATGATCCCTGATGTAGTCCAATCTTTATAGGAAAATTCTTTGTTTGACCACTAGGCGTTCTTATACTAGTTTTTACCCCCTCATATATATCTTGTATGGCTTTAATATAAGCAATCCATACTTCCTTTTTTTCTAACGCTTTCCAAAGCACTTCTCTTGGTATACGGTCATAAGCTTTTTCCAAATCAATAAAAACCATGTGAAAATCTTTATCTTTACAACGATACTTTTCCATTAATCCCCTTAGTAGATAAATCGCCTCTGTAGTTGATCTACCTGGCATAAAACCAAACTGATTCTCAAAAATACTTGTCTCCAATCTCAACCTGTGCTTAATTACTTTCTCCCACAATTTCATTGTGTGGCTCATGAGCTTAATCCCTCTATAGTTAGTACAATTCTGAATATCTCCTTTATTTTTATAAATAGGAATTAATGTACTTCTCCTCCATTCATCAAGCATTTTCTTGGACCGTAAAATCACATTAAATAACTTAGTTAACCATCTCACCCCTTCTTCACCTAAACATTTCCACGCTTCGATAGATATACAATCAGGTCCATTGGCTCTACCATTTGCCATTTTCTTAAGAGCTTCCTTTACCTCCTTATCACGTATTATTCAATAGAATGACAAATTTTATTCTCCTTCACCAGTTACTAAATCCTCCAAGTTACTAGATGAACCCTTTCCATCATTGAAAAGTTTAGAAAAGTAAGTCTCCCATCTATTTTTAATTTCATCATCTGTAACTAAAGTTCTTCCCTCTTCATCCTTAATACACCTTACTTGTTCTAGATCTCTTAATTTTCTTTCCCTACTCTTGGCAATCTTATAAATATTTTGCTCTCCTTCCTTCGTCTCAAGGCTCTTATAAAATTCTTCAAAAGTTTTAGAACGAGCTTCACCCACAGCTCTCTTAGTTTCCTTCTTAGCCATACGGTACCTCTCTCAATTTTCCTCATTGTTACACAAATGTATGGCTTTAAAACAGTTCTTCTTATACTTGATTTTGTCCTGTACACTATTATTCCACCACCAAGACTCCTTATCTTTTGGACCAGAACCTTTTGATTCTCCCAAAACTACTTTTGCAACCTCCCGTATCTTTTTAGACATATCCTCCCACATGATGTTAGCACTTCCCTAAGATTCCCAAATTCCTTTATCCAAAAGATTTCGCTTGAAAATATCTTGCTTCTCACCTTTTAATTGCCACCACCTAATCCTTGGTGCTACTACTTGTCGACGTTTTTGAATTTTACTCATAATACACACATCAAGGACTAGGACCCTATGTTGTGTCGTTACAACATCTCCGGGGATCACCTTGTAATTTTTACAAAGTCTTCTATCTGTGTTTCTAACCGAAAGAAAATCAATCTGTGACCTTGAGGCTCCACTTTTGTAAGTGATGAGATGCTCATCTCTCTTCTTGAAACAAGTATTGGCAATCTTAAAATCATATGCCAATGAGAAATCAAGAAGAGTTTGTCCTTCATTGTTTAGCTCTCCAAAAGCAAAACCACCATACACCCTCACATACTGACCAGCTTCCCTCCCGACATGCCCATTAAAGTCTCCTCCAATAAAAATCTTTTCACTCTATAGTATGTGTCGAATCAACCCCTCCAGATCCTCCCAAAATAATTCCTTAAGACTGGCTTCTGTCCCGACTTGCGGCACATAAGCGCTAACAATATTAACAATCTCACGTCCAATTATCATTTTTAAGGAAATAATTCTATCTCCAATTCTGCTAACTTCTACAACATTCTTCTTCCACTCCTTATCTATAATGATGCCTACTCCATTGCGTGCACTTACTTTTCCTGTATACCAAAGTTTGAAACCTTGAATATCCTTAGCTTCTTCTTCACGCCATTTTGTTTCTTGCAGGCAAAGGATATTGATTTTCTTTTGAATCATAAACCCGACAACCTCTACAGATTTACAATTCAATGTCCCAACATTCCAAGTACCAAATCTAATTTTGCTCTCATGGACTAACTTCTTTAGCTGCATGCGTCCAAATGACGCGGTAGCCCTTGCTCATTTAACACTACATCCGGGCGCCGAGGCAGCGGCTCTAACTCACTTATCACTGTACTCGAGCCATGCAGCACGTTACTTACGGGCAACGACCTAGCATTAACATTATAACGTCTATTGTCCCAATATGCCAATCATAGGAACCAATCATATGGTTAAATACTAAAAAACATATCAATCTCAAGAGTTTTTTTTAGGTTGTCAAATAAAATAATTTGGTGTTTCATTATTTCTTTTAACACTAAGTGCTCATTAGAAAGGTACCTTGTCGCAAGAGTGTAGAGGATATTTTGAGTCTAGTGTGCTCCCTTCTCCATGTATTTTTGATGAACTTGAGATTTTTTTAAAAAAATATCTCTAATTCATCACAATTTCTAACATGTAACTATTGAAGGTGGGGCCCTTCTAATTTGTGTCTCCATGGATAGAAGTTGCTCAAATTTGGAAGGAAACAAAGGGCAAGAGAAGTCAGCCTAGGAAACACAAATGAAGCATCAACAGACTTTGAAACTTGATCCTTTGCAACAATTACTTGTACACCACATTTCAATATGTCAAGCTACTCAAGATGATGAAGCATGCCTTTAGCAATAGATGCAGGAAACATACTTGTGAAGCTTTCACAAAAATAAACTTGTATCTGCCTTAGACTTTAGAAGGAGACATTTCCTTGGTGGTGATGCTCCACACATTCTTCAATTTTGGCAAGTATCGTAGCTTTAACTTTTCAATGGCACAACTATCGATGATGCCTGTCTCTCTTTACAATCATTCAAAGCTTCTAAACCAAACACCATCTCTAACTCCTTACAATCTCTCACTTTTAGTTCTTCTTGATTGTGTAAGCATTTTAGAACTTGGAAGGGCATTAATTTCACAAAGCCACACACGACCAGTTCTTTCAAGTTACTAAGTGAGCTGTCTAGAAGCCAATCATCCCATATAAATGAAATCAAATTGTTTAAATTTGACAATTCTAATAGCTCCAATAGTGGAAATAACACCAATTCAAAGAAGATATGATTAAAAGAAAATCACTTTTGATCTATAGGCTTATTTTTCATGAAATTGTTAAAAGTTCAAATTTAAATATAGAACCAATAAATTAATGATAAAATTGTAGGATAAAAAATGTCTTCAAAAGAAAAAATTGAACAATTGACTTATACATTTTTAATTAAGTTTTCATTTTAATTCACTTATACTAATCAATTGCATTCAACAGCATCTCTATAAGATAAAATAATCATCTTGTCACACCCCAAAATATGAGAGTGACTGTCACAGAATATGCATCTAAATACACATCCCTTAAGCCTAATTTAAGAAATGTTTCATTTTAAAAATACTTCTCATTTAAATAAAACCTTAATATTTTTGTCAAAATTTTGATAGAATCTCCCTTGAGAATAGGATTTCCCTAAAATTTTATAATACAATTTTTTAAAGAAATATTGTAACATCTAGGAGCTTAGCTCCTTCCAACTAATAAATAGAATATTTACAAATAAAGACTCTCAATATAGCCTATGTAGAGCACTTGTAACATTATTTATAAAAGTACAATATATAGATTAAAATTTTACATAAAAAAAATAGAGATTAACCAAAATGGCATCACAACTTCAATCCTGTAGCAAAATGCCTTGAATGATCTGACAGAGGTACAAGATATATGAGACCAAAAATATTTTTCAGTAAATAACGTTCTAACCATAATGTTTTGCAAATTCAAAATGAATAAACTATAACATATGCATAACTTAAAGAGAAAACAGTTTAATGTAAACAAATTTATAAACTCAGAATACAAGTTTTATATGATTTCAATATCAAGAAACTTTAAATCTATAACAATAAAGTAGCTTTAATATTTGATACTGACAAGTCAAAATAATTAAATAAATACATAAATAAAAATAATACAATTTTCTAATTAAAAAACATTAGTGTAAAATTATCAATCAATTAATTAAAAATTCATACTTTTGGGAATTTATCAGAACAATTCACAAACGTGGGCACACAATCCACGAAGGTAAATAACCAAACACGACTTATGTCACCAAAACAAATGTGGACACACAGTTTACAAGGGTAAGTAATTAAACTATCACACCCTAAAAATTAGATGTGACCGGCACAGGATATATGCACAAACATACATCCTTTAAGCCTTTAGCAAGAAAATTCTAATTTAACATCTTAATTTATTTGAAATAGGGTTGGAAATCATAGTAACATTTTTTCCATGCAAACAAAAGATACTAAACTCGATGCAGGGATTTTCATAGAACTTCCTTTGTAAATAAGATAGCTCGATCTCTACAATAACTATTTTCAAATAAATTAATAATACAAAACTTTATTTCTCGACAACAGGCAATCTATATAAATTTCCAAACCATAAGTACATCTATAGTTAATGTGGAGCACCTAAATTATTGTCTCAACATAAAACACATAATTGAAAATATACATCAAAAGAAAAGACATTCTTAAATAAATATTCACCTAATACAGTAGCAAGCCTTCCAATGATCGGCAGGAGGTTCATCGTCAACTAATGAATCTGAGACCAAAAATAATTTTTTTCAGTGAATAGTATCCCCAATAAATAAATTTTAAAGAAAGATAAATAAATAAATAGATTCAAGAATGATGTAGAATAATTGAAATGAGAATAATTCTATACAAAAAAACTTGCTTTTGAAATCATAATCATAATCATAAAGATAAGAGTAAACTAAAATTATGTGATCTTAATTATACTTAAGAAAATAATCAATTATACATAAATAGAAGTGGTACACTTATTAATTAAAACCATTGAGATTTCAAGTTCACAAGTTGATTAAAAATTTAGAATTTTAAGAACTTAATAGAATAGGTAAACAAACGTGGAAACATAGTCCATGAGGTTAAATAACCAAACGCGGCTTATACCACGAAAACAGACGTAGACACATAGTCCACAACGGTAAGTAACTAACACAGCCGAAGCCACGAAACAAACGTGGACACACAGTCCATGAGGGTAATGCTGACCAAACGCGGTTTAAAGAAACAAACATGAGTACGATGCTCACGAATAACCATCCTTCCGTTTCACGTGCGTTGGCCATCACACGGGGCTAGCACCTCCTATAAACACCCTGCTAGCTAGGTGTACCATGGCGCGCCAAGGGTTATAGGACTCCCGTTAGCAACCAGTGTTCTATATAAAGTCCTCTAAAAATCACTTTTCAAACATGCGAGAAGAATCATTTTTGAAATATAATTTGCATTCTCAATACTAAACTCGCATGAATCATTTCAAATCTTAAAGCTTGCCAGAAGAAATATTTTATAGCTAATGTACAAGCTTGTATTAGTTGAGTAACTAAGAATTTTCAGAGTAAAATAAACAAAGATGCCTTCATCAATCTTGAAAAATATATTTCGTAAAGAAAATACATGCATATACCATAATTTAATTAACTTTCATCATCATTCTATAATTTCCAGAACCAAAATGATTTAACTAACAAAGTGCATGATAATCATCGTAGTTGTTAAAATGATTTATTTGAAAATGCAAAATATTTCAAAAACAGACTAATTTTATTAAAAAATAATGGGGTGCTATTCACTTACCCGTAGAGTCCCTAAATGCAAATTCACTCTTTAAAGTCAAGTCCTCTTTCTTCTAACACCCTATTCAACATAAAAGATAATTCAATGATCCTTACTCAAGTTTAATAAGATCTTTACAATATCAACAACACCATGATCACTTAAGTTTTTGACTAAATATAATTTACGCCTCAATTCCTCCAACCTCTACTATACTCACTATATAATCCCTCTATTTAACACTTTGTTTCTATTCAACCCTTCTCTCTCTCTCTCTCTCTCTCTCTCTCTCTCTCTCTCTCACAACCAACCTTGTATAAATTTACATCATCCTTAATCTCACAAAAATTTCAATGTTTTTGGCACCCATCTTATCAAGCACTTTAGGTGCATCTCAAAATCAAGTGTCAAAACAATATTCAACAGATATTCCAAAGATCAATACATAAATAAGAATTTGTGGTTGAATTATTAATGAAAATATTCTCTTCAAAATATCTATTCCTCATCCCAACTTCTCCTCAAGCATTTATCAACCATCTCATATGCATCTAAATTCAAACAAATACTAAGCCTCTTCTTCCTTAATGTCCTTTCCCAAAATTTCTCAATTTCAATATTTAGATTAACCAATTTTCCAAAATTTCATCCTTTTAACTAAATTTAAAAATAAACTGAAATAAAATTCAAATCCACACTGCACCTATCTCTAAAAATCTAAAAGTTCTAACTTGCCTAAACCCTTTGTCAATGTTCGAACATCCAGCAGCAAAGCAAGTAGAAAACCACAATCTCTGAAATTTAAACACACTAACAGGACCAACAAAGAGAAGGGAGTTCGAATTCCTCACCTTCAATCAGTAGCAGAAAAAGCAAGGAGAGAAAAGGATTGCACAATATTGAACAGGGGGGAGGGGATTCAGACATAGCTGCAATGAGGAAGGCAAATGAGAGGCTGACGGTAACATATAACAGCAGCACCACAAGCTTCTCCAACGACCAGCTCCTCACACAACCTCCGACACATACACCGACAGGGGACGTCGAACAGGGACATGAAGGATGATTACTGAAATCCTAAACAGTTATACTCCAAAGAAGCAGACAAGAAAGAACGGCGACGAATGGATTTCTTACCACCCTCGCCGGCGACGCTTATGATAGAAGAAGTAGGTGGAGGAAGACCAAAGTTCTCTCATTTTCTCGGTGGTTTCTGGAGCCCTCTGTAAAACAGAGGTGCAGAAGAAGGAAGAAGGAAGGAAGAAGGTCGCACAAACACCTCGCAATGGCGGACGGGACTCTGATGATCCAGTGCCGACGACGCGGTGAGGCAGAGGAAGGAGAAGACAAGAACGAAGCTTCTGGTCTCAGAATTCTCTCTCTCTCTCTCTCTCTCCCCGATGCTTCCGCGAACGCTGACGGGGAAGGGAATAAAATATCTTATGCAGCCAGGGACATAATGGTAATTTTATAAAGATTGAAAAAAAAATATCCCACCCCCCCATAAGGAGGATTCGAACTTGAAACCTCTAGTTAAATATCAAGATTACTTGGCACTGAACCATCAATTTACCATAATAAATTACCTCCAATATATATATAAAGAATATATTTATTATATCTTATCATCACTTTTCAATTAATTAATTTATATTTATTATTATTGTTATTATTATTTTTTTATTAGGTTATGACATAAACATAAACATGAGCTACGAAACAAACATGAACACACAGTTCATGAGAGTAATACTAACCAAACACGGCTTGAAGCCACCAAAACAAACCATGAGAAAGAGACCCATGAATAGAGCTCACAAAATTCAATTAACTAGTCATTAACCATTGCGTGCCAAGGGTTAATAGTATTTTGTATGAAATCTCCTCCAAATTCATCTTCAAACATGCGAGAAAGTCATCACTATTAAATACAGTTTTCGCAAAATCAAATTTGCATAATAAAGAATTTTGAACAATAAAAAATTGCCATAATAAAATTTCATAACTAATGTCCACGCTTGCATTTATAAATAAAACCAATATTACCAAAGCTAATAAAATAATTTTATCAATCTTAAAAAGTATCAAAAAATACATACACGTTATAATTCAAACATCCTTTAACATCTCTTTACAATTTTTCAAGATAAAAAATAATTTTATTAACAAAGTATGAAATACATAATATAATTAATATTAAATGATCCATGAAAAAAAATATT